TTGCGACAAAAATAAAAGAACAAAGACATCGGTACCCCTGACTTACCATCTTTGGGTAGTTTCCGAGGTTCAGCATTTTAGCTTCAGTCGGCCACGGGTGCAGCACTCCTGAACCTCTTCAACTCGTGTGATATATCCTCCTGGCTCCTCCAGCCAATGTCCAAGTCCTCTTCACTACACCGTCTTTCGTCACCAACCACTCCTGTTCAACCCTCACACGTCCACCGCTACACCACAATCCTTCACGTCGCCCTCGACGCTCCTACCGTCGCCGTCGTCACGTTAGCTCCGCCTACAGCCCACACCCGTCTCGGTCGACCACCAGTGAGCACTGACGGCAGCGGCGGAGGCGGCGGCGGCGGCAGCGGAGAGCGTGCCACTCTGCGCCGGGGGCGGGTCCCGAGGCCGTCGTCAGCCGCGACAGACGCCGCTCCTGGCACCGCATGGACGGTGGGCGGGGCAGAGAGGCGGGGCATGAGGGGGAGATGAGGCGGAGCATAGGCGGGGGTGAGGCGGGGCATGAGAGGGGGTGAAAGGCAAAGGCGGGGCGTGAAGGGGTGAGGCGGGGCGGATAGGGGGACTGAATTGTGAAAGGGGGCATGATTGAAGGTGGGGGCTAAAACAGATGGAGCATGAAGATGCAGTTTCCTAGCTAAGTATCTAAAGCGGGACTGAAGATTGGGACAAAATTGAGATGAGACAGGAAATACAATGGAAGCACATACAAGAGTGGTCATCGGAGGTGAGCGCATGCTGAAAGAGGGAAGGCAAGGAGACTCAAGGTAGAGAACTAGAATAGCTCACAATGCGGTTAAATCAAAGGTTAATTAGCTCGACGGCCTGAGTTCAGAGGCCCAAAGGTGGCATTTAGATTCTTTAGGCAGCGCCACTATTGTGACTGCACAGTTATCATAACAGTACCAGAGACATTGCAATGAACTATAAACATATACCATATGCAGATCACACCTGTTCATTATATAGTTGACTTTAACTGCATGTGGACATGCATGAATCGCATCACCTAATTCCTTGCCCGTAAATACAGCCCATGCAAAGCCAAGCACATTTCAATATGCATTGCAAGACGTAAAACACGAAATCAGAGCACCTGAAATCTGCGTCGAGCAGACAAGCGCCGCACCATTACACATCACAACAAAGCAAACCCGCCGACATGAAGCCGGGCACAATACGTAGCACTTACGGGCAAACGTCGGGGGGTCATTGTCCGCTGTGTCTCCCCAATTACCGTGGTTCGGCCGGCGGTAATCGCCGCCCGGTAACTGCCGGTGACCGCCGGTAACACGGCAGGACGAGGACGCCGCTGGTGTTTGTGAAACAAACAACCAGCATCACCTCAGCCACGCCGGTCGGTTAGGACGAACCGAGTGCTACAGAGCTCTGATGGAAACGAACTTTGATGACGGGGATGGCCGGTGGATGACGGTTTGTACATATCTTATGATGACGGGGTGCGTCCTAAATGAGGGTCTCCGAGGCTGGTGACGGATTGCTGGACCCAACGGGCTGTCGCGAGAGCAGTGATCCTGTTTGACAACGTCTGATGACTGTCCTAAAGACCGGTGAAATGACAGAAGTGTGCCGGGGAGAAATGAGTTCCTTTCATGAAAATTTAATGCATGTTTGCATTGTCGACTGGCTTTAAATTTTCATTTCATGTCCATTATGCTTTTTGACAATTACTTATTTTAATACGACCGAATTATGCAAGAGTACTCTGCCGGTAGAATCACTTTCGGGACTTCTAAAAAGTTTCCTCAGTTGCAATAAAATATCTACAAATTAGCGAACTCTGGTGCTCGCCCCGTTAGCCGGACGCAGCAGCGGAATGCAGCCGCGGTTCCAGAGGACGATCAGCCGGAATCCGGCAGTGCCGGCCCCACTCTGCGTTCCCACATGTCGCAGTGCACTACACCGCTGCCCGAGGACCTCATTTCACGCCTGTGGCTACACCTCACTCCCGGCCGGCGCCCGGGGCAAGAGTGATTCACCCACCGGCGGGCGGCTCCATCACCCTCAGGGCATTCTGGCAGGCGCGGCAGCGGGACTGCAGGAAGTAACGATTGTTAGTGATTCACTTCAGCACCGTCAGCGGATTCCGGAGAGCCGTGGGTAGTGGGAACGCGACTAAAACGGAGAATTGTGTGATGTATGGAGGTGATACACGTCCAAAGAATGCTCTGGCGGAAAATGGAAACAGAATGTAGTTCTTGGCAGTGGTCTCAGCAAAGAAGAGTGCGTGATCGGGCACAGCCATTGCCTGGTGCCTTTATTTGTTGATTGCGTCTTTCCGCGGTCGAAATGCCATAAACGAAATTCACGATGAGTTCAGAATTTTTCGTTTTAGTAACGTAATTTTGATCCTGTCTCCATTAAAATAGCAGCAGAATGATACCTGCCAAGTTCATAATGAACACGGGTATTCTGTTCAAAGTGTATTGTGAAAACTGTCGAGGTTTTTGAATATATCACATAATTTGATGATATTACGACAAACACCTGTCCGTCCCAGTTTGGACCGTGCGGTTGCCGTGCCTCGTGTGACAGCCCGGTACCAAAAGGAGCCCTCGGGAACGTCTCGGCCACCGCCGCAGCCCGGAGGCACGGGCTGACCGCCGGCTTCCCAGTCGGTCCCTGTGATGGAATGTGGGCAATATTGGACAGCGGTGGCTCGTGTGAACGGCATGAAACGACAGAGCCCCGGGCTGCCGCGCTGGACGACGGACACGGTACCATACCGGAGTGACAGTGCCGATGGCGGTGTAACGATGTCAGGCCGGAAAACTGGCTTGGCATGGCACCACGGTTGTGCAATGAATTAATTGAGCAACGTTATATGAATGCCGCATGGCAAGGATCATGTGCACATTATCATGCTACTGGTATAGGTATTATTCGTGATCTATAGACGCCTATGAATTTCATGACGTTTATCGTAATGTTTTATGCTTAAATTCGGAAAAAAACTTTGTTTAAAAAACATTGAAATATGTCTCTACGCAAATATTTGTGATTTGTAAGCATTTTGCCTTGCACGCGAACAGCGAAAGAAGTGATGATTTTGTCGATTTCATTTTAGACTGCGTAAATTTAAATTTCACATTGCATGCCATAAATTGTCATTAAAGTGACTGCACAGCTACACTTACCCCAATATCATCAAACGCAGCGTAAAACTAAAACTCCTAAATTTACCCGACACACCGGGCTACATCAATTCCGGCTGCATCGCGCTCTCGCATCAGCACTGCCGGCGCCATACTCTTCCTCGGGCCGGAACATCGCATGGCTATGATTTGATGAAATTCATCTCCCTAGCTGCCATCTCCATCATTCGGTAATGTATAGCGACATCTTCCGTGGCCGGCAGGACCGTCATCTCCGAGAGCAGCAGGCGCTTCTCTGGGGCGCACAAATCAGCAGAAATTGCCCCCAGCAGGCTCTAATTAAAGAGGTGCATCAGACAGTAATGACGCGGCCAGCCGATTTTCGGGCGCACGTTATGGCTGCCGGAGGACTAGATAAGAAGCCCGCTGCCGAGTGAGAGGCCTATCATTAAAATTGTGTGCTTGAATAAACGCTGAGAAGCTGTGCGGTGGCGTAAATATTTTAGGGGGATCACGAACACTGCATGGATGGGTGTTGCTGCCAGGGATGCGGAGCCGGAGCCGGAGCCGGAGCCGCCGGAGCCGGCATATTTTGCCCGGAGCCGGAGCCGGAGCCGGAGCCGTGAAACAATATAGCCCGGAGCCGGAGCCGGAGCCGGAGCCGTCAAAAAAAGGGGGCGACTCCGGCTCCTTTTCTTAAGAGGAAACAATTATTTACCTAGTTCGGTTTGACAGTACAAGGCGTAAAACAATGTGGTATTCAAAATAGCCTTGTTATACAAATACAGAAGCAACGTGTACCAATCCCATCGCCTTTTTTCTTCGACCCGCATTTAATTGATCGCATAGGGGATGTACTGAGTAGAAGCCGGAGCCGGAGCCGCCGGAGCCGGAGCCGCCGAAGCCGGATCATTTTACTCGGAGCCGGAGCCGGAGCCGGAGCCGCCATGACATTTCACCCGGAGCCGGAGCCGGAGCCGATTTTTTTTCTCCGGAGTCGGAGCCGGAGCCGGAGCCGTCTGAAATTTCCACGGCTCCGCATCCCTGGTTGCTGCCAATTGGAATGTAAAATTCCGATTCGTCATTAACGGTCAGCATGCAACATTCCAAAGCATCGTTGTAATAATGCAATAACTTGTGTTTTTGGTATCAGTTGTGAAAAAGCGTTGATGTATGTAATTGTTTTACCTACAGTAATTATGACTGTCACATTTTTTCAGCAGGTTTTTCATTTATTTTTCATATTCACTAATGATGTGCACAAAATCATACGCGTCTGCCGTCTATATAGGTCACCTGTGTTGCCCCGGCATCAACTGTATCAGTATCCGGCTGGAAACACCTTCAGCTCATAAAATATACTTAGAAAACACAAGCCAATTTTCCTTGGCCGAATAAATATGTAGATTACTCACCAAAAACTGTGTTTGGAGTGAGGCTTCGTTAATGGAAAATGACTCCCACAAGGAATATTATCACTCAAACTTGGAAGCTGACTTAATCCCTGTCGGTATGGGTACCTAGAGTGTCTGTGAATGGACCATCTGGATTCAATGACTCGTTATGCTTCAAGAGGGGGAATTGTTATAACATGCGTTTTATCAATTAATAAGTAAAAAGTGTTGTTGTTGGCAAACTGCATGACCACCCCCCCCCCCACACACACACACACTACACATTGAACCAAACGTCAGCATTTTTCACAACATTCTCACAGCATCAGCTCACATCATGTTGAAATATCTGCCGTAGCTTTGGCATTGTACCTGGCTTCATGGCGAGGGCCCGCGGTGACCGACCGTGCCATGCGGCACAGTCGGCTCCCAGGGGCGCGCAACACGCCCGCTGGGCAGGTGGCCGACCCAGACTGGCCCCGGCTGCGCTGACGGCACTCGGCGAACGGGGGCTGGCGGGTGGTGCGGTCGCTCCCTGAGGCAGGCCAGCTCAAGGTAGTGCGTGTGTGAACGGAGCGAGCGAGCGAGCGAGTGAGAGAGTGAGTGAGTGAGGGGGCGCGTTTGCAAGTGAACAGCTAGAAGGATATTACAAAGTGAGCTAAGCCGATAGGTTTGATCCTTATTCATTCCTAATGTCTGCTAAAAGTCTGTCGCCTATAAGATTCACGTCGCCATTATAGTCTAGACTGGTATGGTGTGATTAAAATTGACATGACATGAATCGATGTCAGATAAGTTGACCAATGTCCTTTGCTCAAGCTATTGCCTGCTTGCTAAAATGGATTTTTTCTTGCCTACCGACGTCAGTTGGGGAAACTACGAGGAGCCAAACAAAAATTGGATTAGCCAATCAGCGGCTGGAGTGGGCGGGGCGATGACCATATATGGTCATAAAATCAGACAACTTCATCTTTTCAATGAATTTTAGCATTCAAATGAAAAAATAAGGCATAAGAATGTTTTTTAACCACACAAGACCTACACTCACCCGGTGGATAATTATCTGGCGGCTCTAAATCGCAGAGTTACAACGCAAGGTCAAACCGTGATTGGCAAATATGGTGGATTGAAACAGACGCGCCAAAAAATGTAAGCAGTACCGTGGTTTTAAAATGTCATTATTTTTATTATTTTGTTTATGGTTTTTCAAATTGTAGTTAAGTTATTATTTTAGAATTAAATATTTGTGTTTATTGTAATTAAATTAAATCTTTTAACAATTTTCTTTCATAAAACCAATCCATTTATTGAATGGCCAGCTGATTGTGATGCCCAGAACCTGCAGAAAAGCCGTTTTCCCATCGCCTTTTTCGAGTCAATTCGCCGAATCTAATCAAATCACACTAATTCCTAGTGAAAAATGGAAGCCTTTTCTCTCCAATAAGTGGACGCGATACCGCAGGTACCGGCTTGTTATACCGTTTTTCACCCTTAGTAGCGGGGGCTGCATTTATGCCCATATATGGTCAGCAAAAGTCCATTTATTGACCAATCCATTTTTTGACATTCGCCTCGTAGTTTCCCCAACTGACGTCCACGTGTCAATATGTCGTACCGGATTCTCCCACCGTCCGCCTTTAACTTATAGGTGTTTCGCTACAGCTTCCACCCTTCTGACTGAAATTGTTCTTATCGTCTCCTTAGCAGGTATGTCTGCTGACGAGAGCTCCGCCGAGGGCCCGCCGCAGGACCAGGCGCACGTCGAGCAGGAGATTAGACAGCACGAGTCGCTCGAGGATGCTATTGAGCGCGCTGAGCCTGAGGTGGAGTCCGGCGCCAGCTCCCGGTCCGGCGGCAGCGCGCGCTCCGCCCAGCTGCCCTCGCTGCAGGTCAGTTCAGCCGGGGTTTTTATTTTTTTTCCGAATGTTATTGCATGATTGAGTGATATGAATTAATGCCTACTGCGGCTACTAGGCTACCACTTTGCACCCTAGCCCTCGCCCGCACATGCCATTTTCCCATCCTAGAACGCACATGGGGGGGGGGGTGGTTGCCACCCCCCCCCCGCGCCATTTCGTTCCTGTTGGAGATACCTAGAGCTTAGCGGTAAAGACCAAAAAGATTCTTTCGGAAGAGACTAATCCAATGATACCCAGTTTTACCTTCTCAGGTCAGTCATTGACCTTCCAGGTCAGGTCAAACTAAAAAATGTTGCTGTTTTGGGTCACCGTTTGATATCAAGTGCGCTGCTTATCATATACCGATGACGATGCCGTTTTCTGGTGCCAAGCCAGCTAGAACCTCTTTGTCACACTACCCGACCAGGTTTTTGCTGCTGAGGTCATTTCAGGTCAAGTTAGGTCAAGGTCAATTATATGTGTTTGTATGTCTGTGTGTGTCTGTGTGTATACTGATGTGTGCACCGATTGTTTATGTGTCTATGTTACATGAAATCATGATCTCAGAAGCTTTTACCAAAAATGCAGTCAAAAAACTTCACAAAAAGTAAATTCCGCTTGCCTAAAACGCAATTATCTTAGATGACCTAGGTTGACCTTGACCTTGACCTTGACATCTTTACATCGTCGAACAACAAGTTCCATGATAGGTGGGAGGTAAGACTGGTAAAAAAGGCCGAAATCAAAATCAAGGTGTCAAAAGCTCACAAGGCCCATAGCCAACGCAAAATGTCGAGAATTGGGCATTTGGGTCATGACATGACCTGAAAAACAAGGTCATATCTCCGAAACCAAAAGTCACAGAAACTTGAAATTTTCAGTGGACATCAAGAAAGGATAGAGGAGCAGCTATACGAAAAATAAACCTAGCTCTAAAAATGTTGAGTGCAGGACAGAAAGACTACCTGGGGGGGGGGGGGGGTGGCAACCACCCCCCCCCCCCCCCATGTGCGGGCGAGGGCTAGGGTATTACTAATTGTGAATCTGGATTTACATGTGGTAACTGGGTCTAAAAGCCACATGAAGGTCAGCATGGTTTTTAAAATGAAAAATAAGTACACGTTTGTGTCAAATTCTTTGAAGGTTCAGATAGGTACTGTAGATATCTGAAAGGTAATATTTCCCGATTTATCGCGGCGAGTGCTCTCAAAGCTGGAGAAGTGGAGCTAGAATCACGCAGAAAAGTTTTCGACAGTGCTTTATCGACAGGTTCATCCATCTATCGGCCAGGTTCATACAAAGAACGTATCCTATGGCGCACACACTTGTGGTGGCTTTTTTCACTTCTGATTCGCCCGCAATTTTGTACCATTCGAATGGTTCAAAATTGCGGGCGAATCAGAAATGCATTCGGCAGAATGTTTTTAGATAATACTGAAAGGAGCTGTTTTATAAGGATCCCAATGCTGATTAATGCTGATAAATATTGATAAGGCTTTTCGTTATCTCGAGACTAACCGAAAACTGCATCGGTATCGCCAAGTCGCCACACTGATTTTCGCAGCTGGGCGATGGGTACCTTGTTTCGAATATTTTGTTTCGAATATTTTGTTGTCCGGGCGACCCAGCGTAAATTATGCGGTCGGTGGCACTGGCCGCCCCTATGTGGGCTCTAGGCCAGCACGGGTCCCAGTGCGGAATTTCCCGGTTGCCGAGCGGCCCTCTCTGCGGAACTCTCCGCCGAAGAGCGATCCGTTCAGTCGCCGGCGCCCCTGTAAGAATTGCCCCGAGCAGCGGACGCCCCAGTGCAAAACTCCCGGTCGCCGGGCCGGCGGCCGCCCCCGTCCAGTCGCCGGGCGCATTGTGACAGCGGTCTCTGCGCTGCCCGCAGGAGAGTGCGCCCGGCGACTGGGAGAGGGCGTTCGCCGAGTCACCCAGCATGGACCGCTCAGAGGGGCGCGGCCCGACCGACCTGGAGCCCTTCGAGCCGCTGGACCTGGTCGGCTGCTGCGGCGAGGAGGAATCAGAGCCCTGGCGGCGCCCCGAGGGGGACAATGAATCCTGGCGGCGTCCGGAGGACGAGGCAGAGTCCTGGCGGCGTCCACAAGTTGTGGTGGAGCGCCACGACCGGTCAGAGGCCGATTGCACGATGCCGGTGGCCGGTGCCTCCCCTGACCGCGTGTCAACCCGACGATATGCCATGGTGGATGAGGACGTAGATCTTATTGAGCGAGCACCCCAGTCGACGCCACGGACAACCTCAGACGCCAAGAGTCCCAGTAAGGGACGCAAGAGGCCCTGGGAGGGGCGTGCCGCCGACATGCCCAGTGCCAAGTGTGTGGTGCGGCGGATAGGTGCCCTGATTCCCATCACTTCCCGAAGAGTGAGTTGATCAGAGGCTGAGATGCATGTTGGGTCTATGATTTTTATGTTAGTAAAAAGTTCCGATCCAACAACTACCCTACAAATCCATAAGACTTCAGTCACCACAATGACCTTGAACTGACCTAAGGCCTAAAGGTGATCTCGACACCCACCTTAATTCATGGGGCAATCAGCATTTTACTATAACACGTTTCAAATCACAAAGTCCGGAAACGCACGGATAATTTGACGACATACGCCGAATAGCAATTCCGGCCTGACATGGTCTCGAGAAACAGGTCACAGGTCAAAGGTCAAGTAGAGCAGACGCATGAAATCTTTAGAGCATGTGTGCCTACTTTAAACTTATCACCTAGTAGGTACCTTGAAAGTTTCATCGGAATCATCGCAATCGCGAAAAACCGAGGGAGTCTATTCGATCTCGCTCCTCATAAGTGCGAGGTTTTAACTCGATGTTTTAGATCAAGCAGTCTACAATATCGTAGCAATTTATATCCATGCTGACAGAAGCGGCGGAACACCTTCTTAAGGGGGGGGGGGGGGGGGGGGTCACTGCCGACTTTTGGTCCCATTCTTTCCATGCAACGCCCATAGGGCTAATGTTAAAATGCCAAAATCAAAGGGGAGCACGGTGCCCCGGTGCACCGTTCCGCCGCCTATGCATGCTGATTGTAGAGGCTTTGAGTGCTGCTGACATTTACCGCGACACCGCATAGTATCCCTCATGACTTTGGATCTATTGGGCCTACCCCCCCCCCCCCTATTTCAGACGGAGACCAAGCTGCCGGTGGACCGTTTGGAGGCTGCCGCCCAGGCGCTGCGGCAGCTGCTGCACGCCTGGAAGCGGCTGCTGGGGCTGACTGCCTGCGCCAAGCTGCCCGACGTCGGAGACCGGCTGGGCGCCAAGCCGTCCGTGCTGCGCCGCTTTTGTCCCGCCCTCTGGATGCTGGTGTTCCTGCTGATCGCGCTCGGCGGGATCGGCCTCCAGTGGGCCCGCTGCCAGAGGTGAGACAGTACATAGGTATGCAGAGTGGGGGAGATGAGTAAATGACAAATGTTCGGTGGCTCGGATATTCGCCGTTAACTTTATCACGGCCCATGATAGGTACTGGTAAATGTATCCATCCATATCACAACAAATTCGCTAAGTTTTCTTTAATATCTCAAGGAATGTTATCCAAATATCTAACTATTTAGTTAATCAATCAAACCTTTGATCAAATGTCAAATTATCGTGCATACGTAGTACGTACTTCAATCTACATAAGATTATAATTTTTGTCCGGCATTCCCAGGACCTACCTGACCCGTCTCGGTCCGGATACGAAGCCCGACAACAACACCGTGGTGGAGTACGTGTGTCAGCACTCGTTCGTCTGGACGTATCTGCTGCCGCGGCTCATCTTCCTCATGGGCTACATCTCCGTGTTTGTGTCGTGGTTCTGCCTAAAACACCCCGACTTCATCACCGTGGTGGCGGAGGTAAGTAGTGAGAGATACACTCGGGTGACGCTAATTTAACGCTCTGTCCGTTTTGCAGTCGCTGGAAAGACTGAATTTTATAGTGTCGTGTCGGAAAACGTACTCTAGTAATGAAGTTTTTTATTTGCCCATGCGCGTGTATATCAATGTGATCGGGATGGAAGTGGCCGGCATTCTCAGGATGATCGGGATGATTCAGGGGTGAGCGATAACTGCAAGTATTTGGAAAATCACAAATGACCGCACTGAATGTTTGTCTTGGCGAAATATTACCAATCTCAATGTCTCCCTATCCCTGTTCCAGGTGTACGACTGTGTGACCGAGCAGCACGAGTACCCGACCGTTTCTGAGCGGTTCATCAACTACTGCCGCGTCGACCGCCGCCTGCTCTCCATGCTGTTTGTCCTCGTCGCCCTGATGTCTGCCGTCGGTACCCTGGTCGGAGACGGCGTGATCGCCGGCACCGCCGCCGGCACGGCCGCCGCCTCTGCGCGAGACGCCAAGCACGCCGGCGTCGTGCTGGTGGCCGACGTGTTCAACTTCGTCGTCAAACTGGTGCACGATAACGTCATGTTCTTCGTGCTGGCGGCGCACACGCTGTCGCTCAAGTATTTCGATCTGATCCTGCAGAAGACTCAGATTCATTTGGGGAATATCGCCGGTCAGGCGCACATCAGTTCGGACACGTACGTTCGGCCGCAGTACCAGCGCGGCCACCGGCTGATGGCGCAGGCTCAGGCTGCCGTCTCTGCCGTGCTCCTGATGGTGCTGCTGAGGGTGTGCCAGGCGCTGGTGCTGATCTTGGTGGACCAGACCCAGCTCGTGCCGCGCACGGAGTCGCTGGGACTGCTGCCGCTCGTCGTCGTCTACAGCATGATGGTGGTCTACATGGTGCACAGGGTAAGTTGACCACTGTGTCCGGTGGTAGTACCGGCTCTGTTATTTATTTCGGGTTTAGATATTTAGGTCAAATATCGTGTTACAACTTACATGACAGTCGTTTAGCCACTATACCGTGCTATGGCGCATTTTTGGAAGGTGACACTGTAAATCTGTTTCTTCAGTGTTATGCTATGTCAATCCGTGTGTAGCATGGGATTTTTACTGTCCGTCCATACTGGGCAGTCGCCGATGCCACACGCCCACCGTGCACTCCTCCGTGCACCCACACGGCCCCGTGCTGCCACCTACACACCTCCGTGCTGCCCTCTGCACCGCTGACACCCCACCCCCTCCGCCGACAGAGCTCTCGTCTCACCAAAGACGGCAAGCTCCACCACGCCCGCCACGCCTCCACGGGACCCAACTTTGCCGAGGGAGGCGCCCAGGACGCAGACGACGACGGCGAGCCCCTGCAGCCGCGTGAGGACGCCGAACAGGACGCCGACAGACAGGAGAGGGCTCCGGAGCGGCCGGCGTCCCGATCCCAGTGGACGCCGCCCCTGGAGCCGTGTCCCGTCATCACAGGACGTCTGTTCGGACTGGACGCCGCGCCGTGGATGTATGCCGCTCTGGTCCTGCTCGTGGTCTGCTACTGCGCTGGATATTTCGCCGTGGAGCGGTACTGGCCGTTTTTCTAGTCCGTCAAAGATCGACGATGACGTTGTTTCGGTGACGTTAATTTATTGGCGTTGTTGATGTTTGGAGGCTATTTTCTACCCGGGTCTTCTCATGATTCAAAATGTGCCATGCTTCCGCATTTTTGACATTTTCAATGTTTATTTTGGATGTGCCTTATTAGGCCGAGGTGTAAATAAATAGCTGCAATTTCAACTTTGTTTTTGCTCGATCGTAATGTATCGGGAGGTCGGTTACCTGCACAATTGAACTCCACCTCATATATTTTGCCTTGCTATCTGCCCTCGCCCTTTTATTGAAACCGTGGCTTATTGTCGTTGGAGCAAACATGATCAACTATTCCAAACAAGACTGGTAATACGCTCCAATCTAGCGTGTTGCCCGACCCCGCCCGCTTCGTGAAGTATACGGTCAATTGGGTGTGTATATGCGTGCTCAATTTCGTGTTGAGCGTTGCGGGCAAGGGGGGACGATCGTGCCTGCCTGGGTTCTTATTGTTTGCCGCCGTCTGAGGGGGGGGGGGGTTACAGGTGAAGGGAGGGGCAGTCGCCCGCCGCCGGGGGAGGGGTCGTTGGGTGGGCGCCCGCCGCCAGCTGTGTAGTTTGGCACCCCTCCATCACACGTGCGAGCGTTGGACGGATGGGCAGGACGGCAGTGTCTGCCGGTGGCTAGTGGAAGGCGGTGTTAGGATGGTCGCGCTCTGACTTCAATGAGACCGGAGCTCCAAAGGTTAGTGCCAGGATGCGGGGCTTATCGGTCGGCCGTGTGTTATCAGGAGTTGGACGATACAGCTGCGTGGTCGGGGAACTGACCTTGTCAGATAGCGTGGTGAGCCTAACGCTGAACGGTGGCGTGGCGACGGAGGCTGCCTGATGCGAAATCTGACTGAAGAGGTTTAGTTTACTACCTCTGTGCGGATACGTATTTCAGACAAATGTTTCGATGCAGGTGCATTGAAAAATAGGAACTGACCTGGTTGGATGTAAAGCAAGTGATACACAAACTATACCTACAATCTCGCCAAACTACATATACCTACAAAACACATGATCAAATCTTTCAAGTATGTAACACGTAGACAACTGTCCAATAAAACATGTGCCGCTAACGGAAGTTATCAGAGACAATAAGGACGTTTAATTACCCGGTTCGCCCTCCCTCCCTCAGCCATCTGCCAGGGATGTGATCGGACCCGCTCTGAAAGCCGCCATGATCCAGCGTCAGGGGATGATATCGGTGATATGAGCCGCGACCGAGGGGTGCGGCGATAGTCACTGAGGACAGCGATGGTCAGGCGCTGCTCCCTCACTCTCTCCCTGGCCGCACTTCTGCTCCAACTCCTCATCATGGCACTCTTCCTGGCCCTGCGAAACGGTCAGCGGAGAGACTACGGGCAGGTGAGTTCGATTGATAAAAAATGTTATAAACCTTGATAACTTCGTCAATTTAAGCTTGGGAAAATTCAAGCGCTTTTTTTTCGTCAACATGAGAGCATAAAAAATGAGTCAACCTTTGGAATGTATTTATCGATTAGTTGTCACACTCTTGACATGTCTTTCTGTTCCCGGTAGTTCTACAACGCTGATGCCGGAGAAATATTGTGCATACGGAGGCCCGAACTAGACGTTTCTGAGAACAATCCGTCCAGGCCACTGGTGTTGGCACCTTGCGAGAAGTATGGCCACAACCTGGACAACACACAGGTGAGGGCAACAGCTATACGATTGACGATACACACAGGTGAGGACAAGGGGGAACACGGCCACAACATGCCAGCCCCAGCCCCCAGGTCGTTTAAGGTCTGTTCACGGCCACATCAACCACTCTTAAAATATTCATATCCAGTATCCACCCTAGCTACCTCGACTGAACTAGAACGACCAACATTCAAAAGAAATTGATCATACGACATCTCCATTAAAGGTAAATTGAAGCCGACATTGCATATTGATCAATACATAAATCACTTCAGCAGCATCGCTACAGATTTTGTGAAACTATCTTCAACGCATTCGGCATCCAACTCCCTTGACTTTGTTTCTTGGCAGAGGTTCCGTATGGACTTTGAGGGTCGTTTATTCAGCCCTGTGCCGAGCAGTGAAGAATCTCAGCGGGAGTTTTGTGTGGGCTCCGATCTTCGACTGGGCGGCTGCAATGACGAACGCGAGGAGTGGGTGTTCACACAGGTAGGTCTAATAATTATCGTCACACCATCTGTCTAATTATCATCGTACCTGTTAACGAGCTCTTCGTGTATTATTTTGGTGTGAATCGAAATTCATAAAGTGTTTAATGAAGCTCTGCTATTTACTCGCAAAAGAAAAAGGTTGATGTACACCGATTATTTTTGCATTTTGTGCATTGGAGAATGTTCATTCATAACTTTATTCACATTAGCTGTTTTCACGACGGCCATCTGGTACACAGTTGATGCACATTTGGTGCAGATTAGGTGCAGAGTTGGTCAAATTAGGTTCACTGTGTCTCTTAGTAGCTATCAGCTAGAGGGCTGCACTTATTGCTTATATCCCTGCTTTGTCATATTCTCAAAGAGTATCATCGATTAAAACACTGAAATAAATTCATAAAATAAAGATATTTGCTGTAAAAGAGATTAGGTGCAGATTTGGTCAAATTAGGTTCACTCGCCGAATAGCCTGTCGTGAAAACGGCTAATATGTTCTTGTATATTCTCCTACATTCCAGGGCTCTGGACTGGTACACGTAGAATCCGCCCAGTGTCTGACTCGGGAGCCTGGGTCGCGACTGAGTCTTCGGAGTTGCGACAACCGGCCAGAACAGTACTGGTGGTATCAACTGGAGGGACATGCCCCACCTGTGTGACCCCGGCGAGTACTAAGTAGAGGGACACGACCCGCTTGAGTGACCTGAGTGACCTGTGTGACCGGTTTGGTGGCAATGTGATGGAAGACAGACTATTTGTGACGAAAAGGGCCAGTGCAGCTTGTGCTGAAGCGCCGTTGTGATATTCTCTGCAGTCCGCAGGCATCTGGGAAGTGCAAATGACTAGAAAAATATTAACGTTACGGGCACTGTCTGATTTGCTCTCATATTCATCGCTACTCGGGTTATACACATTTTATTTTATTGTTAGGTTGCCAGGGAAACGAAAACCATTCGTTGGCTTTACTCGTACATGACACAGTTTGGTAAAAACACGCACGTATGCCATAGGAGAGGTTAACCCGGCACCGCCTGGGCTATTTCCGTACCCACATCAGCCTGGGGGGGGGGGGTCGGATCCGACCCCCCCCCCTGTTATCTCGAGAACCAATGGTCGTATCGAGCCCCGCGAGGCGGCGTTCGAAAGGTCTCTACGAGACCTTCCCAAAGCACTCTTAAGATTTTAAGATTGAGGTCAACTTTCGGGTCAAGGTCAGGTCAAAGGTCAAATTCAGGGGTTTTGCATGATTAGGCTTACGGACAGCGGAATCGATAGCTGCTGCTCGAAACTCACCACAAATGACCTCAAAGACCTAGTGAAGGTACCATGTGCGTATAGGGGTCATACTAAGTACGGGTCAAGGTCAGGTCAGGTCACGAAAGGTCACAGTTTTCACTTTCTGCTACATGGGCGTGCGACACATGTTTTATGGCTTATTTTTCACGCCAAATCCGATGGTAATGCCTAATGGTTATATGTGACCCCAAGTCACTGTGCTGGTGATAAGTGTGCATTGAAAGCATAAAAAAATCGTTTATACCATACATAACTAAACGAGGGCTAAGAAAAAAAGTCAATTTTTCAACTTTTTATTTTTGACATAAAAATGCACTTTTCTAGACGAGCTTTGTCCCAGGAATCTAGTGGTGCCATTTGTTTTCACATGCGATGTTCAGAAGTGCCTCTAATTCGCGAAAATGCTTATGACGTCACCATGCCCTATGCATGTTGGAGCTATTTTTTACAATTTGGGGGTCAAAAATCAAGATAGAAAGTTGAAATTTGGGACATCTAATGTTCTAATAGAGCTTTATAACATATATTCCGGTTTTTTGGAAATTCTCAAAATTTTGGATTTTATTAGCTGTTTTCCAAAAAATATAGTTTTTTGAATTTTTAGGGGTGAAAAACGCATTTTATGGAAAATCCGAGATAGCCATTTTAAAGAACTCGTTGAGCTGCGTCTTTTCATGTCCTTAATTTGCAATTTGCTTAAAACCTCGATTTTTGGCGATTTTTCAAACATTTATCATTTTTTGACTGAAAACGCCATGTAGTTACATCACTAAAATCGATATATCTCAGAAATTTTTGAAAATTTTTTCTTCAAAATTGCACAGGAGACGTCAAATTGATGGGGGAGAAGGTATGCGAAATTTCAAGTTGATAGCGCAAGCGGTTCGTGAGTTATTCAAGAAAAACGGAGGGGGGGGGGTCGGATCTGACCCCCCCCCCCCCCCCAGGCGGTCGCCGGTTAAGGACTCCCATAACCCTCGTCCGTATAGGGGGGGGGGGTCGAACGGACCCCCCATGGTTTTTCGCGAATAACTCGCGTAAAAAGCGGCCGATCGCGACGAAACTTTCAGTACCCTCGCGTCAATCAATTTTAGACCTACCCTGAAAATTTCATGATCCTGGCCCCAATGACCTTTGACCTGTGACCTACTTTTTGAGACCATGTTTGGCCGGAATCGCGATTCGGCGTATGTCGGCCCGCATTAGCCGCGCGTTTGCAGTCTTTTCGTGGTTTCAAGCGTTCAAACATGTGATATGATGTTACCCCCATGCATTAGGGTGGTTGTCAAGGTCACCTGAAGGTCAGGTCAGGTCATTGACCTTTGGTGACCTCGGTTCACTTTTTCGAGTTTTACATGTTTCTAGGCCAGTTTTTGGAGCTGAATTCGAATTTAGCAACCATATGAACGTTTACGAAGTAGTTTTGGTACCTTCGTAACATGTTACGAAGCTGTCAGAGGCGGTTGACACCTACTAGGAATACCCGGCAGGACCCCTACTGGTTGACCTGACCTGACCTGACCCGACCTGGACTAAATGCATAAAGACATCATCTGTGATCAAAACTAACATGATATTCGTGATCAGCGCCCCGAAAAACCCCATAGCAGCCACACTTTACGACGTTCTAACAGGTCCCGATTTTCCCGACTTATGGGTCATTGACCTGACCTGCAAGGTCAACCAATGACCTAAGACCTTAAAATTGGGTATTATCGGCTTCCTCTT